ATGTAAATCTCGGCCCACAAGTGAATGCGGTACCCAACTGAAGTTAAAGGGTACTAAATGTCCACCAGACCCCTGAAGCTCCCTCCTCTAGGGTTGCATGTTGCAAGCTGTAACTTGGGCATTTGGCCACTGAACGCTGATCTGTGGCTCGTTTCCCTTTCTGCATTCAGAAGTCACATATGACAGATGCAGATGCTCTCCAGTGGATAATCACTCTTTCTTTGAGGGGCAAGATTAAAACACTGATGTGACACTGTGGTGAAGGGTTTTAACATACAAGAGGTAACAAAATCGGAACTACAGTTCCAGAGGTATGCTATCCCTTAATGCATTTAGCTTTTGCATGCAAATACATAATGAAGCAGAATTAGTTATGGTTCCCATGGGAACCATAACTGATTTTCCTGACCTGTGCAGCAAAATTCTCAACAACATCAAATGATTAAAAATACTGCATTCACAGATTCTTTCCTCTCCCTGAGGCACCCCCTCCCCAGGCTGGCTAACTCCTTCTCTTACTCCAATTAGGGACAAGTGGGCAACCCATTACTAACAGAAAATTCAGACATTCACCTTGGCAAAATCTTTTAAAATAGTTTTGTTATCGTACAATATGAAGGAAGCACTCCATTGCACTTCTAAGCCAGGAGTTAATATAAGTTTTTAATATATCTCAATCCAGGTCAACCAGTAATCATTTCAGTAAATTTAAGAACAGGCCTTTTGAGTGCATTATAAATCAGTTCTTCTGCTATCCAAATTTTGAGTTGTACACATGTATTTTTGCTTACTTCCCCACCTCAACCTCAGATGCATCTCACGCTATACTTTTTCAGTTCTGTCTTTTGCAAAACTATATATCATTATTAGTTGAATGGTAACCAACAACCAACTGCCCTTAGAAGTGCATATTTTCATGTCAAGCAAAGCTTTACAGGACTTGAGATCCATGAATGCATCATTAAAACGGTCCAGGAGGGGTTGACATCTGATAATCTCTGCTCCTATGAAATTCAAAGAAACTGTTATTTGTTAAAAATCATTTCAAAAGGCATCTTAACTACGCCACATCATTTCCCAATAATATTATTTTTCATCTGTAAAGACTGCCTTTTCTCAGACAATTAGTTTTTCCCAAATACACTGGGAGAAATTAAATGAATACATGATTTGGATTTTATTTTTTACATATATGATGAATTACTTGGTGTGCTGAAAGGAGGCTAAAAAAATCTTTAGTGTTTTCTACTGTACGACAGACAGATGAAATAGTGCAGAGTCCTTTAATATTTTTTTTTCCCAACAAGTCTCTTTAGAAATGGCAGATTTATTAAAGCCAAAGACAATGTCCTTTCTAGTAGCCTTACTTTCTGGATCTGAAATTTTGGTCAGAATAATGCTGGGGAGGGGAGATGTGGATGTATCTTTTAAATGGAGATGCCAAGTTATAAGTTTGAAGAAAAATATGTTGATTAAATCCTTATATACTTTAGGTGTGCATGAACTTACCAATGTAGTTTTATTGGAGGCCATTTTTATTGCAGACTTGCAGAGCTTTTACTAGAAAAATGCATGACAATTAAAAGGAAGTTTACATTACTCAAAGAAAGGCATCCCAATACAAGCATGGTCCTTGTTCCAACCCCCATGTATTCACTGCATAGAACATTTCTAATACGGATTAAATCCAGAACAAAAAGTAGGTTACTACTTTGTCCGGCATAACCCAGTAATGCACCATTATGCTAGCCAGGATAAATGATACCGACAAGTGGTACATAGGATTGAAAAAAGGTTTTTCCCAAGGCCTTCTAAGGCACAGAGATGTTTCTAGGGAAAAGGGGGAGGACCATCAGGGATGCTTATTTCCTTAAACCCCATAGAACAGGAGTTCAGATTCTAGCAGTTAATCGAGATATACCTAGGTATATTAACTGCGAATCTGGTGGGGAGCAGCTACGTATCTGCGGTGTACTAATGAGTCACCCATTACTCTTACGTTGTAGTAAATGCTTATAAACAGCAAATATTGATCTTAATGCAACTATAACGTTGCCTTCCGATTCTCAAGTTTGCAAGAGTTAAGGCCCTAGAGCAATATTAACTCAGCTAAGCTGTACATGCTACATATTTAACCTACACAAATGATGTTGAACACAATCCATCCCCTTTTCCATGTCATTTCTCATACCGGCCACCTCCTTAGGCATGTATTGTCCCCGCCCCGCTGCAACCTATAGAACTGTTAGCATTCCCCATATGCCTGGGCAAGGCAAAAGAGAAAGTCCTTCAAGGCCAGAAACCCCCCCGAACTCAGCAATCCCGCCCAATTCTCCCCCGACACGGGAGGGGGATTTTGGCAGTCCCCTAGGCGGTGGGGTAGGCGAGGTGGGAGGAGGGCAGGGACCAGGGCCCCAGCGCAGAGGGGCTTGTCTCGTCCCCGTTTGAAAGGCAGGAGAAAGGGGAAAAGAAACAACAGTAATAATAACAAAAACCCCCTGCCACCCCCGCCAGAAAATACCGGCAGCCCCGCGGAGGCCTGCCGGGGGGGGGTGCGCC